CCCCCAGGTCTGGGCACAGGCTGCTGCCTCGGCCCCTCCTCCACCTGGCACCAGCCCTTTGTCCCTGCCTCTGCTTTAACCCTCCCCTCTGGGACCCCCAGGCCCTGTGCACCTGGGGAGCCCTTCCTCTGTGCTTTCCCAGTTCCCTGAGCACCCCAGGCATCGCCCTCAGCACCCCCAATGCCTGGGAGCTCTCCTGGGGCCTGGCCACTGGGACCACCCCCACACCCCAGCACCGAGCGCTCAGGAGACTCTGAATCGGCAGAAGGAAGGACCAGACCCCGCAGGTCTGGCCCTGGCTGGGTGGAGGGAGCACTGGGGTCCTGAGGCAGTTTCTGGGGTCCGGGCATCTCAGGTAGGCATCGCAGTGAGCACTGCCCACCTCCCAGGCCTGAGGCGTCTTTAAACTCGGGACAGTGGCTGTGGTCCTCCCCACCCTGGCCCATCTGCACACTGGGTGCAGCTTTCCCACGGGTCCAGGCAGGAGCCCTAAGCAGAGGGGGCCGTCGGGATGGCAACCATGGGCACAGAGGGTCCTGGGTGAGGTGCCCATCTTGCCGGCCCTGCGCCTGTTGCATTCTCTCTAAAACATAGAGGCAGCAAAGGGGCTGTACGTGCAGAGGGCGCCAGATTGCCCCTGAGCTACAGGCAGCCAGAGCTGCCACCGCCCCTCCTGAGTCCCTGGCAGGAGCCCCTGCAAAGCCATCACTGAAACCTGTCCTGAGATGGGCCAACCCCCCTCAGGGCTGGTCCCTCCCCAGGCTGTGTCCGAGAGTAAGACTCACAGTACAGGGTCCTGGGTAAAACCCTGGACCTTTCTGGCCTCTGCTGCCTCATCTATAAAATGGGGACATTCACAGTCGGCTCACAGCCTGGCTGATGGGTCTAATGGAATAACTGTCAGGAGCCTGCACACAGTAGGTGCTCACTGAGCAACAGCTGTGGGATGGTGATGTGATGGTCACGCCCCTCTCTGCTTACCCACTCCCGGGGCCCCTGAGGCATACCCCCTCCTGTAGTCCAGGTGCATGGGCGCCCTACCTTATTTTTGGCCACATGCCGACCAGGAGGCTGGGTGGACTCCTCGGCCAGAGCGTGGAGCTTGGGGCTCAGAGGGATGGGGGGCACCTCGCCACCCAGTGCCCCCAGGCCCTTCATGGCTGCGCGGTAAGACTGGCTGCGCAGGTTCCGCGCCAGTGTCCCTCCGGGGCCCATGTCCATGTCCATGTCATCCAGGGAGAAGCTCGGGGCTGCGAGGAGCCGGGGGTCCCTCCGGGCGGCCTCCTTGCTGAGTATGGCTGCCCCAAAGCTCTGGTGGCGGGCTGGGGTCTTGGCCTTGCTGGACACGGCCAGGCTCCGAGGGATCAGCTGCTCGGTGCCCATCCTGAGGGCCACAGGGCTCTCCGTGCTCAAGATGACAGTCCGTGGCTCCTTGTTCGCAGGGGGCGAAAGCGGAGGTCCCACGGGGTCCTGCTGGACGATGGCATTGCTCCTACCCTGCAGGGGGCTCCGGACCAGCGGGAGTCTGGACTCGGGGTTACCCTGGGCATCCAGCCGCAGCTCCGCGTGGAAGCGGCCTTCCAGCAGCTTTTCTTCCAGGGAACTGTCCGAGCGCCGCTGGGCCATGCTGGGCGGCCGTGGAGTCCTGTGGGGACAGGGCATGGGGGAGGGCCTGGAGCAGAGTTGCCGGGCACATGGCCACGGTCATCGGGGCTGCCTAGGGAGGTCAGAGGCAGCCAGCTGGGTGTGCAGGGAGGGGCCCTACAGTCTCGGGCCTGCAGGACCCGGCAGAGGACAGGGGGCTGGTTTTCTAAGCTGAAGGACCCAGGTGGGAGCAGCCTGCAGTCCAGGCTGCCCTGTGAGGCCACCAGGCTCCCTCTGCTGGGCTGCCCATGCTGAGGGCAGATTCCTGAGCTGGGGGTGTCAGTGTGGGCAGTGAGGGGTTCCTGGGCCCCTGGACCCACAGGCCTGGGATGGAATCAGCCACTCTGCCTGTTGGCAGCATTTCCACCAGTGGGTCCCAGCCTGAGCCCATCTCACACACTTCCTGCCCAGGATGGGTCTGGGGGCTCCCCTGGGATGTTCTCTGCTTTCTCCCAGGAATCTTCCCTGAGGGGAGGCAGGGCAGAGCCTGCCACACGGGGTCAGAAATCAGCCACACGGGACTAAAACCGGCCACAAGGGGCAGAACAGGTTGCACGGGGCAGAGCTGTCCACACAGGGCAGAACCAGCCACAGGGCACAGAGCCGGCCACACGGGGCTGGCCTAACCCACAGCACAGCCAGACTGCCTGTGGGCACCGGGAGCCTGGTTCTCTGTCCTGCTCAGCACACAGGTTCTCCACTAAATCACCCAGGGAGGAGGCAGGGCTGTGCCTCCCAGGCCCCAGGAAGCCCTGGCCACCCCCACGCTGGGAGGCCCACCCACACATTCCTGGGGACATTCTGAGTCAGCCAGCAGGGATGGCAGCTGCCACACTGGGCCTCCTCCAGGCCAGGCAGATGGGCACCTCCCGGATCCCCATCTCATGTCAACTCGCCTGTCTTTACCCAGGCCTGGGGTAAAGTGGGGTTCAGACTTCAACCTGGAAGCATGCCCCTCGGGCAAAATGCACCCAGGTGGGCAGCCAGGGCATCTGACGCGTGAGTCCTCTCATTCTAACCATGACACGTGGGCATTGTTACCAAGAGCAGGCACTGAGGCTGTGCCCCCCAAGTGCCCACACAGAGCCCGGTCCGCCCCGTCCCCTCCTCCCCCCTCCTGTCTTCCTGTCTCCTGCAAGGGCCTGACTCTGCCAGACTCCTTCTCCCGAGGCCGGACCTCACGGCCTCTCCCAGGAGAGGGCAAAGTCTGCTCCGGAGGAAGTGCCCGGATGGAACCAGTCCCACGAGCCACTGCAGGGCGTGACCTGGGTGCCCAGCAAGGCGGCCCCACCCACAGGCCTGGGCGCCTCCAGTGGGAGCCCGGACCCGGGGTCTGCAGGAGCTCCAGGCGTGGGCTGCAGCCACCACAGGCATCAGTGCCTCCTTTCTACTGCCTGGTTTACCCCAGAACCACCTGGGCACCGGTTTAAAAGTCAGATACACAGCAGCAAAAGGCTCATCCTCACAGACAGGCGCCCCTTCCTCCACCACGCTGTCCCCCGCAGGCCACCACCCCGCAGGCGCAGCCCTAGATGGGCACCCTCCGGATCCCCACCCCCATGTTAACTTGCCTGTCTTTACCCAGGCCTGGCCGGGAAGCGGGGTTCAGACGTGCATTCACTGGAGGTGTCGCCCGCCCCCTCCCAGCCCCGAGGGCGGGGCCGGCCTCCCACGGCGACCCCCAGGGGGCCTGTGGCCCTGAGCAACTGAGCAGCACTTGGGCTTCGCCTCCGTCGGTTAATCATTCCCTCTAGTTTACGAGCGAGCGGCTTTCCTCCTAATTTCCCCCCAGGCCTTCCAGCGCCCCTGCGTGTGCTGGATCTTACACGGTTGGGGCACCTGCCCCGGGGGTCCCCCGAGACCCTGTCCTCTCCCGGCCTCCGTCCTGCTTCCGGGGCTGGAGCTTGCGGGTCTGATTCGCCTCCCTCCAGCCGCCCTCGGGCACTGTGTCCCCTGGTCCCTCTCCACCAGAGGCAGCATCCTGGGACCGAAACGTCTTCCCTCCTTCCCCTGGGCTGGGACGGTTAAAGTCCCATCGAGGCTCCCTTCCCAAGTGGAGAACCCCATTTCGCCTCCTTGGATTAGGACCCGAGTGGGGCTCTAACCGCCAACTTTACCCCGGGCTCCGAGGCTCACGGGGACACGCTCCACGGACGAAGCCACGTTCCCTCCCGAGCCGCGTGCCTGTGAGTCCTGGGGCCGTCCCCGTGGCCAGCCGCCTTCCAGGGCTCTTTCTTTCTCTGCATGTTCTCTGGTCTCCGTGTCTGGAAAAGCCCGCTGACGGGCAGGGACCTCCGAGGTTATCTCCGAAGTCAGAGCTCTTTCTCCTCTGTCTCCCTCTGTGGGGACTCCCTCAGTGTCACCTCCCGCCACACGCGCGGGCGTTCTCACGTCCCGCTCGCGCCCTCTCCCCTCCAGCTCCGCACCCTCCCACCCTGCTCTCGCTCCGTGGACCCCCGTCTCCTGCTCACGTCGGACTCGTTTCCTTCTGCCCGCAGCCCGACCCCTCTCAGCTCAGCCAGCCCCGCTCCCGGGCACCAGGCTTCCCGCAGCCCGCTGGTCCTGGTTGGCTGGCTGCTTCTTTTTAGGCGACGGGCGTTGCGCTGGTGGGAGGCCCACGTGCCCACGCACACACGTGAGTATGCACACACACGTGAGTACATGCTTTCACCCGGCAGGCTCTTTGGGACCCTCGGCTCCCAGGGTGTTCCCACCCGGGAGCCTTCCCTTGGCAGGTGAGACCTACAGACTGTCCCCTCAGTGTCCCACTGGATGCCCGCCCTGACCTGGTGTCCAGGAGCCAGCACAGCGCAGGGGCTGAAAACAATCTTTCAGCTGCCCTCAGGGCAAATGCCAGCCACGCTGTCTGGGCAGCAGCTGCTGAGAGAGGCCGGAGCCCTGCAGCAACCACTGGGGCCACCGTGGCGGGTCCTGTCCTGCAAAGGCGGCCCCAGAGAGCTCCTCCAGGGGCCACAGCAGCGAGGACTGAGCTGTGTCCCCGACAAGTCCATGGGTCACAGGTCCCACGGACCCTTGCTGTGTTCTGGTCCCTCACCTGGGGTCCGTGCCCTCCCTGAGGCCCTTGGTGCCCATGCAGAGAACTAGCCCACCGGGCCGGGCACCTGGCTTCAAGCAGCAGAGACCCCCAGCGGCTAAGGTCACCTGTGCCCCCTTGTGGGTGACTTTTGGGTGACTTCCTGTTTCTGCTTAGGGTGGGCAGGAGAGGGTCCCCAATAGTTGAGCCCCCAGAATCCACAACACTTGGTTTTCCCTTTGCCACTCACCAGCCTGCCGTGCACCGCCCCCCCACATTCAGGCCAGGGTAAGGGACAGTAGGGGCTTGGGAGGGAGGAGCTGGGGGGTTGCTGGGGGCAGCAGGTGGAGTCGGGGAGGTCCCTGGGCAGCCTACCCTCAGCCTCAGGGCCCCTCCTTAGCCTGGCCAAGCCTAAGCTGTACTGGCCCCTCCCTGGCCTGGTGGGCCCCTGGCTCCCTGTCCCTGAAGATGGGCCTCCCAGGACCCCAGAAGCCTCAGCTGCACCCTCTCACTCTCCTGAGAAGCACAATATTCCTGGCCTGGGCCTGGGGCTCAGCTCACAGCTGCTCTCACAGCCACCAGGACCCATGTCACACCGAGGTTGGCACCGGCCACACCGAGGTTGGCACCTGCTACCCCTTGGATCAGTACACCACGTGACTTCCATCCTTGTGACACCTCCATCCCCTCTGCCCCGACCCCCAGGTCCTGGTGGGGCTTGGCCTCTCCGGCACCGTCTGTCCGACCCAGGTCTGCACTCAGGCAGACTCGGCCACAATGATGGCCTTGTGTCGGGTAATTCTGCCTGGCCAAGCTCGAGACTAGGAGTCACGGAATTTGGGGGCAGGATTTGGCTCTGTAAACCACGAAGCTCGTAGCAAACAGTTCCACTTGCAAGGTGGCCAGGGGTGGCTTGGAAGCTCAATAGTGGGACAGCTTTGCTCCCCAGGGGACATTCCTGGTGGTCACAACCAGGGACCAGCTACTGGGCTCATGGGGATGGGGGCTGGGGACGCTGCTGAATGGCCTGCAGTGCACAGGACGCCCGACATCAGGAATTGTTTGGAGCAAATGTCCACAGTGCTGAGGTGGGGAGACCAGAGCTTAGCGGACTAGAGTCACCCTTCATGGTGGGGGTTAGGGGAGCCCCACCTGGCCACGCCCAGCCTCGGACATCACCTGGCAGCTCCTCCCACCTCAAGCACAAGCCTCTTGCTGCCTCCTTCCTGGGACACCTGCAGGCCAGCAATTGTCACAGACACTGCTGACCGTCCTGGCTCCCGGCTCCCATCTCTGAGTCCAGACATCCCATAAACCTGGCTCCTGTCCTGGGCCCGGCTGGCACACACTGTTTCTCCAAAGGAGCCACAGGCAGGAAAGCAGAGCCTGACTCTGGCAGGAGCCTGGACAGGTGACCAGCAGGTGTCCTCCAAGTGCCTTCTCGCCCACTTTTCTTCAGCCCCCCACCAACCTTCCGGAAGGTGGGTCCTGTCCCGCTCTGACGGGTGAGCGGACCGGGTGCAGGGAAAACGTGGCCCGTGTGGGTCAAGGTGCCGGTCCGCAGAGCTGCGAGGAGGAGGCCTGTGCTGACCGCACGGCTGCCCTGACAGGCGCGTGGGGAGACGAGCAGCTGACAGCCACGTGGAAACGCAAACCAAAATCCTGGGACCCAGGCCCACGGTGAGCATCCGCGCCCATCAGACCCTGCACACAGACTGCTGTCCTCGGGGCAGGGACTGTGGGGACCCACCCCAGCAAGGCCCCCTCACCTCCGTGCCTCAGTTTCCCCACGGGTAGGTGAAGGGCACTTCCCATATGGGATCAGAGACGACCACGGGAACCAGGGATGTTGGGGTGGGGGGTCACTCCACCTTAGTTTCCAGGTGACCTTTGTCCAAGCGACTTAGGACCTTACTTCTACAGGAAGCCCCCAAGCCCCCCTCCTCCCAACACTCCCTCCCTCAGGACT